GTTTAATAGGTATTGCATGATTGGTGGGCAGGGTCAAAAAGGGATTATTATAATGACATGGCACCTCGGAACTAAGTGTTAACCCTTTTTTGAGAAATCATGCTCAAGTATATGAACCCAAATTGCATATTAAATAAGTTTACAAGAACCACTAAAATTAATCTTAATCTTTTTTTAAGAAATTTTACTTACCTAAATACATGTAGGTACTTAGTTTTAGACCAAATTACTTCCCAAAAATGGCCTTTTATTATTATCTATGTCTGTAATTTTTAATTTACTTTAATTATTAAGTTTAATAATCCTAAGATTTGCCTACGCCCATGGACGACAACGAAATTCAGGCAAATTTTATGACACTTCATGATTTATTACTCTACACTCTTTTGAAATAGACTATAGGTGATAGACCCCAAGAATGGATAATTTTGTTGATAGGGGGCTTTAAAATCACCCCTTATTCAGAATAGATGATTTATTTTCAAAATCAGGAATAACATTTTCACCTGTTTCATTGTAGCTAATGTTGCATAAGATTCACCTCCCGCTTCTCCCACCACCTTTTATGAAATGCAAAATATGATATCTGGATTATTCTGAAATGCATTGTCGAATATTTGAATATGCTTAAATTAGGAAAATAGCACTTTTTCATGACTCTCCCCTCCCCCGAGGGGAACAAAACAGAAAAATTCGCTGTTTTCTTTCAATTTTCAATATGATGCAGTTCATGTTATTGTGAATAGAAATTAACAAGAATTTCAAAACTTTCCTTACCCCCAACCTGTTTCAGATCAGGAAAAAAAATTATTTTCGACTACTTGTAGATGCGTCATCAGAATAAATATTTCAATCATCTTAAATTAGCGAAATTGTATACTTGTTCAATCATACCTCTCCTCCCTTCATGATTGTGTGTTATAGGACTTCACTTCGGAATATACGCACAAGTAGAATCAGCGTGTACCACTGGGTCGTACAGTCTATTCGGAAAATAATAGATGTCATGTTATTTTGCATATACATCATTGTGATGATGATCTTTGTTTATTAGAATTTCTATTTAAATAAACATCTATCTATCTATACTTTCTGCTCTTTCTAAATAAAATATATTTATCCCTGTAATGTTCAATTATTATAATTATTTGTATTAGCAACCTGCGATTTAACTAAATTATCTTTAACCAATGAGACTTCTTTCACATCTGTACTGTTCACCCTGCTGGCCTGAGCAGATCAAGAAAAACAACTGTATTGCAATAGAAATTTACATAACGGCAGATTTACGTCAACCAGTTGATTATCGGACAATTCTTTCAGTAAAACAAGCTTTAACTGTTTTAACAGAGTTTTCGGTCGCTCTGTTTGAAGATGGATTATAAGGTGGTATGGTAACATGATTTATGTCATCGACTTTGGTGAATGTAATGAATTCTTCTGAAATCAGCTGAGGGCTATCATCTGAAATTAACATTGTGGGTATTCCAAAACTCGAGAAAAGTTCGCGTAATTTTTGAATGGTCACTTTGCTTGTGATAGATGTCATCGGAAACACTTCTAGCCATTTAGAGTAGGCATCCGTAACAACCAAAAAGTATATATTCTTCAAAGGTCCTATAAAATCTATATGAATTTTTTGCCAAATTGCCTCATGTATTGGCCACGATGCCAAAGGCGTTTTTTCGCTTGTGGAGAATTTTTTTTGTTTTATTCCCCTTTGAAGTAGGGAGAAAGTCATGAAAAAGTGCTATTTCCTTAATTTAAGTAAATTCAAATAACCGACGATGCATTTCAGAACAATCCAGATATCATTTTTTTGCGTTTCATAATAGGTGGTGGGCGGAAGAGGGGGGGTGAATATTTTTTTATCAAAGAACACAATCTTATGCGACATTAGTTACAATGAAAGGGGTGAAAATGTTCCTGGTTTTCAAAATAAATGGTTTATAATGTGTGTATTTATATTTCACCATCTGTAGGCACTGAGATTGACGAATTATTCTGTGAAACATTATAACAACTAAAAATTTTACTGACCAAAATTGTAGCTCTATTTGGTGACTTGCTTCTTATTTTTTATATGCCTCCGCTCTTGTTCACAATAACATCTGAAATAACATCTTGAATAATTCTAATTGGCTCCTGGACCTCATCATTTCCTTTATGAAATGTGAGGTGACAAGAGACAGAGTTCCATCAGTTCCTGAAGATATGCTAGATATGAGGCATCATCCAGCTTTGATTATTGAGTTCAATGATGTTTCGATAAGGAAACCAGCTTCAGCTCAGATGATAACCAAAGAAATTATAATTTCAAATGAGCTAATTATCCTGTATGATTTGGTCTTTTCTTCGGAAGTGTGACTATTTGAATTTGGCTGTCAATAATCAACATGAAATCTTATTGATTCACATGTTCGTACTTTCAATATGTTATAGATCTGAGATTATTTGCGGTATCAAAAATAAAGCTAAACTATGTGAGAAGCACAAAAAAACTGCTTATATTCATTACAATTCAAGAGCTTGAGACTTGTC